CCATCTTGCCCCGCCTCTTGTGATCTACTTTCTAAAGTGAAAATCCTATGAATCTCAAAGATTCGATCTGCAACTGATCATGGGGATGGCACAGGAGTGGGAAACATTTAATTCCATTGTGTATTGGGTTTCTGTGAGTCGAGCTGACTCAACTGCACCCGACAATAGCAACAACATAATTAAGGAAGTGAAAATAATGGCTTTTAATAAAATCTTATTAATAATTTATAAACATATAGAACAGCACTGAATCATGAATTTTCAGTTCGATGAATGCTTCCAGAATGAGACTTTATTGCAAGCAACACCCACATGAGAGACAGAACATTCCCAGTACCCAGTAGCATCCTCACCAAGGCACTGTTCCTGAAAGGGATTGTGTGACCCTGATTTTCTAATCCCATGGATTAGTCTTACCTGATTTCTTACTTTATGTAATGGTTTAGTTTAGCATGTCCTTGTATCTGGTTTGTGTTTCTCACCAGGAAGTGTGAAAGATCCATTGTACTGTTAGGCTTGCCATGACATGTGCAGACGCATGCTGTGTAGCATCTGACTGTGAGTGTGCCACCCCTCACATACTCATTGCACTGTTGATGTGAACATCAGTTGATGTGGCTTTTAGGAAGAGGGCTTCTGGAACAATTTAGTTCATGTCTTAGGGGATTAATGTACACCGTTTTGTTGATTATATACTTATAGAAGAGTTGCAAATAATATATATCTTTGTTTATATGCATGTGCATATTCTAGCCTCTTGTCCACTTTATTACTTGGTTCTCTATTTCTCATTACTGGAAAGTAATTATTACCCAGCAGTTTCTACAATTTCTTCCTGACAGAAGTTGACTTGGATATATTTAATGGACTTGGAGATGGGCCGCACCATTTGTAAGAAACATGAAGAGGACATTGAGAACTGCCCCTTGCAAGAAGGCCTAGAAGAGAAAAAGGTTAGAGATTAAACTCACCCATAAACTCATTATGTATCTTGTGGGAATGAAAAACATCACCTAAGCCAGTATTTGGGAGGAAGCTTAAGAAGACCACCTGGGGATGGTCCTGAGGCAGAGTGAGGGATCCTGACCTCTCTCCAGCAGGTATCAAGGGACCCAAATTGGAGGGATAGAGTGGTCATTTTAAGCAGGCACACTCTGGGTCCCAGGGTTAGCCATGGATCCTCTGCCTACAGCAAGGTGGGATAAGCAGAGGTTAACTGCCAGAACCACATGACCTTCCTTCCTGGATATAGACCTCTCTACAGGCCCTCACCTTTTGCCTTCCTAGCCCCTCAAGGTGTAGGGCAACAATATTCTCCCTGTGGTCCTTGCTCTTCTTTTCTCTTATTCTTTTGGATTGGAGGACTGCTTAGTTTACCAGTCATCCAGCTTCCCCGTGTAGTTTCTTGGGTCTCAAGAAGAGTTCCCAGCTAGCCAGAGTGCTAATGTAACCATCCTGTGAGCTGGCAGTTGACATGAGGGTCCTGGAGGTGGAAGATAGACCTCATTCAGAGTGAACAACCCTAACTTGTCTCACCCTGCCAACCCACATTCTTGGGAGTACCTTTCCTGCAGGCTGGTTTGCAACTGCTGACCAGTTGGAGGGTGTCTGCTTGGGTCATACAGGGAACTCCTGCAGTATTGTGTGTATTAGGAGGTTGTGAGGTCAAAGGGGTCCTTTAGAGGCAGGCAATACCCCATCTAGGCTCCCTCTAAGGAGCCTCAGGGCTTAGGTTGTCTGATTCAGCAATCTCTGCCCCAAATTTCTATGGGGTCTTGGCCCCAGGAGACACTTTATTTTTCACGATTTTGTAGTTTTAATGCATCTTGAGGCTCTACTGTGCTAAATGGTCCCAATATAATATACTTTTCTAATTTTATCTCTTATAATTACTGCCCTTCAGGTCCGCTGCTCCTTCCTCGTGGATGCCTTCCCTATCTATACCCAGTTCACCCTCCTGAACAGCACCTGTGTGGACAAGTAGGTGGGAAAGGAGCACCTGGTTTTTCACAGTCGAATCCACTCTTCTGTTAGGGAATAGTGGTCAGTTCTGTGTCTGTGCAGGCACCTCAGCAATTAAAGACATTTTAGAGCATGTTCTGGGTCTTTGAGCAGTTCTGTACTCTCCCTACTCAACTCATTTCCATGAACATCACTGTGCAAGGATAAGTGATGTATATTTCATAAGCACTATTCTTATTATTTTAGGTGTAGTTATAGAGTGTTGAGTAAATCAAATTCCCCAGGTCATGTGAAGCAGTTGATATTGGTTAATTTGAGACTTCTGCACCCCCAGGTTGATTTCATTCACTCATTATTTCATTTTTCTTCCATTCTTGGAACTCCCCATATCCCTCATCCATTCTATTTAAAAGGGGTACAGTAAAATTTCCAGGGACCTCCACATCCCTTCTCCTTCTATCTTAGGGACTTGGGCTTACAGGGAACAGCCCTTCTCAGGAAGGCTATGCTGTTTCCTGGTGGAAAGAGGCTCTGCCCTCCTAAGGCTGCCTGAGTGACAAGAAAGCTATCACCAGGGCCTCTGATGACCTCAGGAGAAAGTAGCTTAATCCAGCAAGTCTCCACTTCTCCTGATGTATGCCTTCTCCACTTGGGCCCAGCCTGGACCTCATGGCTGTTAACACCACTCACTATCCCTTCTTGGGCACCATGGGGATAGATGCCATGGTACGTGTCTCTCTTCTGAGGTTCTGGGGTGGGGGGAGCAGGGCTTGGAGACAAGAGAGATGAAGGGAATGTGCATCATAGGGGTACAGGTGGGGCAAGGCAGGGGCAGTTGTCCCTGGAGGATACTTTAGGTAAGGGGGTGCTTGATGGCTCCTCACTGCTTCCTTCTGGGTTCCAGGAGTCTCCCATTTGAATGTCTCTTTGTTGGAAAGCTATACCTCACATGACACAACCCATTCCCCTGAAGTAGTCATAAGCATTGGTGGGATGTGATTTCCTGACACTAATCTGGGCAGCTCCACTGGGTACATCAAAATGATGGTGACTCATGCAATGTCTGTCCTTTTGACCTAAATTTTGATAAGGGTGCATATGTACTTTCTTTTATTGTGATTTGTGTGAATATTCACAGAGCAAATTGATTTTCCATTCTACAATTCATACACATTTTGTTTTGTGACATTCATTACAATACTCATAATGTAACAATACTCCCGGTGTTTAGTATTTCCCTTTGTCCTTCTTTCCTATCCCATTTTTGCCTTCTGAGCTTTAGATCTTGTATGGTTGATTGTTCCAAGGAATGTGTACCTCTTTGTTAATATTCTTCCCTTTATCATTTAGCTGAAAAGTTGAGTAACAAGGGTGAGTTCAGTTCAAAGCATGACGGATGTCTTGGGGATTCCACCAATCTCTAACATACCAGTGAGCTGCTGCTGCTACAGCTTCTTCTTCTTCTTCTTTTTTTTCCCTTAATTTTATTATTATTATTATTTTTTACTTTGGTTCCAGATTTTTCTCCTACTCTCTCCCGGACCTCGTATTGTGATCTATTTCAGAGCTATCAGCAGTGGCAACTGGGTACCATTGACCTCTTCTGGTTCATTAGTTCTTTGGACTAATTGTTTCATTGAATCTTTGATTTTCTTCATTCTTCTTTGCTCTGGATGGGGAGAGACAAATAGTTGGACCTTAAATGGCCCCTCATTAGTTTTTAAGACCCCAATCACTACTCCCTTAAAGTAGGATGTAGACATTTTCTTTTTGGATTATGTTATGCCAAATTTGTTGAACCCTAAGACTATGGTCTTGAGCCCCCAGGCCCAGATACTCATTCTTTCAAGATGATTGGTTATGGCTAATAAGTTTTTACAACTTTGCCCCCTCTGTGTTTTACTAGATTTATGGTTATATTTGCAGCACATATAAATACATATGTAGAGATATTCTTTGTGAAACCTAGGTATAATCCCATTTGCCTTCCCACCCCTCTTCAGCTTGAATGTCTCTCTATATAACCACTCATAGATTATTTTTATCACTGTCATTGTAGGATTGGGTATGTAATAGTATTGTTGCCTTTAACTTTTGTGTATTTCTCCCCCTTGATTATTTTGTGCTGACCTCCACCTCATTGTATATTATCTTTCCTTCACATAAATTATTAACTGTTTGTCCTCAATTTAGTGATTTATTCTCCTTTCTGTTCCTACCCCTGCTAACCTTCAAAGAATGATTCTTTCTGTGTGTAAACCTTTTCTGTGTGTAAACCCAAGGAGGGGTTGCTAAACGTTTTCTTGACTATTTACAGTGGTAGTATTTGCCTTTCATGATTGACTAACTTCACTTAGCTTAATTTCCTGTAGGTTTATCCATGTTATGTGGCGTTTCAAAGATTCAATGTTATTCTTTACCATTGTGTAGTATTCCACCATGTGTATGTACCGTAGTCTGTATTCGTTCACTATGGACACTTAAGATTGTTTCTGTCTTCTTGCTACCGTGAATTATGTTGCAGTGAACATGGGCATGCATGTATCTATTCATAGCATAGCTCTTATAATGCTAAGATGTATATCTAGTAGTGAGATTATTGGATCATATGGTATTTTCTTTCTAACTTTTTAAGGAAATGCCATACAATTTTTCCCAGTGGTGATGCCATTTTACAACCCCACTAGCAGTTTGAATGAGAGTTCCTGTCTCTCCCCACACTTGCCAACATCTGTTGTTTTCTGTGTTTTTGAACTTGCTATTAATACTGTGTGAGATGATATTTCACTGTTGTTTTGATTTGCAACTTTCTAAATGGAGCTCTGGTGGTGAAGTGCCTAAGGTATTTGATTGCTAACCAGAAGGGTAGAGGTTCAAACCACTAGCCAGTCCTTGGAAGGAAGACTGGGCAATCTATTTCTATAAAGATACCACCTCGAAAACCCAAGGAGGGGTTGCTATGAGTTGGGACCATCTCTATGGCAGTGAGTTTGTTTTTTGGTTAATGGCTAATGATTGTGAGAATTTCTTCATGTGTTTGTTAGCTGCCTGACTGTCTTCTTTGTTGAAGTGTCTGTTCATGTCCTCTGCTCATTTTTTAAATTGAATTATTTGTCCTTTTGTTGTTGTAGTGTTGCAATTTTCTATACATTATAGAGATTAGTCCATTTTCTGATATGTCATTTCCAATTTTTTTTCTGCCAGTCTGTAGGTTTTCCTTTTACTCTTTTAGAGAAGTCTTTTGATTTTTAGGTGTTCCAAGTCATCCAGTTTGTCTTTTGCTGTTTGTGTGTTTCTAGTTATGTTTCATAGTGTATTTTTGCCATTTATTAGAGCCTTTAAGTTTCCCCCTATTTTTTCTTTGTGATGTTTGTGATTTTAAGTTTTACATTTAGGTCTTTGATTGGGCTTGAGTTAGTTTTTGTATATGGTGATAGATATGCATCCTGTTTCATTTTTCTTCAGATATCCAGTTTTGCCAATACCATTTGTTAAAGAGACTATCTCTTCCCCATTAAATGAGTTTTGGCTCTTTGTCAAAGATCAACTCGGCTTGGTTGGGTGGATTTACTTCTGAATTCTTAATGCTTTTCCATTGGTGTATATGTCTAGCACTGTGCCACCAGAGCTCCTTTATTGTACCTATACCAGGCTGTTTTCATTACTAAGTCTGGATAGTAGTTTTGAGATTAGGGAGTAAGAGGCCTCCTACTTTGTTTTTCTTCTTTACTAGTGCTTTGGTTATCCAGTGTCTCCTTCATTTCCATATAAAGCTGGTGATTAATTTTTCTATCTCTTTCAGGAATGAAGATAATGTTAAGTCTTCCTATCCATGAACCTAGTATAATCTTTTTTT